GAGTGAGTTAGCCATGCACCCACCCAAAGTTTGTAGTTAGCATATGGCTATGCTTGAAGAAAGAAAAGAAGACACTATCTAGTTGTTCTTGGAGAAGTGACCACAGTATACTGGTAGATATTCTTGGAAAATTGAGAACTACAGACATTTTTTGGAGAAGTTGGGACTATATTAGAATTCTTGGAGAAATTAAGACTGTTGATAAATTTCAAAAGAAGTTTGGACTTTAGAGAAACAGAGAATTAAATTCTACAGAGATATTTTTTGAAGAAGTAAGGACTATATAAACATATTTGGGACAAAGAGAGTCGAGATGTTCAGTTACATATTTCAAGTGCACTGCAATGTAAAAGAGACTAAATGCCAAACTTCAACATACATCTTTTCAATATATTCAACATCTGTCTTGAGAGTATTTAACCCTCTTGTACAATAACTGCTTAGTAAATGTAAGCAATATGAATTAATCAATTTCCCCAAAACATCTATACTAACAGTTTAAAGTTCCATGTGTTTTGAAAGTTACATTACAGCTAGAACATGTGTCCATTTTTTTTTAACATTCAAAGCTTGCAGTACACAGCCAGAAGTGTTATTATGAGTCGGTATATAAGGGTGTTTGCAGTCTAACAGCTATTCTCTCATTATATTCCATTTATTTTTATATGCAAGTGTTTTTATCTTCACCCATTTATTCCAGCACTTTTGTTATGTTGTTGTATCAGGTAGCCATATCAGGATGTTTAGATCCTAGATCCTCTTTCATCACTTATTTCCCTGATTTTTACAAACATATATTTCATTGCCTCTTCGGACTGCCCCATGTTAAGAAGTACAGCACAAATTAAAATAAATACTACAGCAACATCAGGATGCTTGGGGCCTAGCAGTTCTTTTTTCAGTTTGTGGCATCTTTTTAAATATGGAAGTGCTCTTTTGTAGTCACCCATGGCTTGTAGTAAATCACCAATATTGTAGTACAAATGAGCAGTATGAAGGTGTTTGGGGCCTAGCACATCTTCTATCACTTCTTTGCTTTTTTTATAACAGTCAAGTGCCTCTTTGTACTCACCCATGTCTTTTAGTAAAGTGCCAATATTGTTGTATGAGGCAGCAGTATCAGGGTGTTTGAGACCTAGGATCTCTTCCCTTACTTCTAGACATTTTCTATGATAGTCGAGTGCCTCTTTGTACTTACCCATGGCTTTTAGTACATTGCCAATATTGCTGTATGTGGTAGCAGTATCAGGGTGTTTGAGACCTAGGAGCCCTTCTTGCACTTCCAGACATTTTTTATGATAGACAAGTGCCTCTTTGTACTTACCCATGTCTTGTAGTACTCCACCAATATTGGTGTATGAGTAAGCAGTATAAGGGTGTTGGGGGCCAAGGACCTGTTCCCTTACCTCCAGGCATTTTTTGTAATAGTCGAGTGCCTCTTCGAACTTACCTATGTCTTGTAGTACGTAGCCAATATTGTTGTATGATCTAGCTGTTTCAGGGTGTTTGGGACCAAGGAACTCTTCATTCACTTTCAGACATTTTTTATGATAGTCAAGTGCCTCTTTGTACTTACCCATAACTTCCAGTACACAGCCAATATTGTTGTAGGAGTAAGCAGTATCAGGGTGTTTGGGACCTAGGAGCTCTTCTCTTACATCTAATCCTTTTCTATGATAGTCAAGTGCCTCTTTGTACATACCCATGTTTCTCAGTACATTACCAATACTGTCGTATGAGGAAGCAGTATCAGGGTGTTTGAGACCTAGGACCTCTTCATTTACCTGCAGGCACTTTTTAAAATAGTCAAGTGCCTCGTTGTATTTACCCATGTTTTGTAGGACTTCACCAATGCTTCTGTCTGTTTTAGCTGTGTCAGGGTGTTTGGGACCTAGGAACTCTTCCTCTACCTGCAGGCATTTTTTAAGATAGTCAAGTGCCTCTTCGTACTCACCCATTTCTTGTAGTATTATACCAATATTGTAGTGTGATTTAGCTGTTTCAGGATGTTTGAGACCTAGGGACTCTTTTTTTTCTTCCAGGCATTTTCTGTGATATTCAAGTGCCTCTTTGTACCTACCTATGTGACTCAGTACATTACCAATATTGTTGTATGAGGTAACAGTATCAGGGTGTTTGACACCAAGGACCTCTTCCTTTACTTCCAGGCATTTTTTATGATACCCAAGTGCTTCTTTGTACTTACCCATGTCTTGTAGTACTCCACCAATATTGTTGTATGAGGTAGCAGTTTTACGGTGTTTTAGACCTAGGACCTCTCCCGTTACCTCCAGGCATTTTTTATGATAGTCAAGTGCCTCTTTATACTTACCCATGTTTCTCAGTACACTACCAATATTGTTGTATGAGGCAGCAGTATCAGGGTGTTTGAGACCTAGGAACTCTTCCTTTACCTCCAGGCATTTTTTATAATACCCAAGTGCTTCTTTGTACTTACCCATGGCTTTTAGTACTCCACCAATATTGTTGTGCAATTTTGCTTTTTCCATTGGTTGACCTTCAAAAAACATGTTCATATCTACCTCAATTGATTGAAAAATCGAAAGAGCTTCTTGATTCAGAAATAGAAAATGGAATGTATTTGCAATCATTTGTAGGATATTGAGTTTGATTTTCTTCTGTTGTATGCCAGAAGTGCAGAGTTTCATTTTAAGCAAGGTGGCAGTCATGTGTAAATGGGGCACCAGTTTTGACATATTTTCAAAAAGTGAAGCTTTAATATTTTGCACAATGTATAGCTGGAGCACACGACATATGTAATAATCACGGTATTTCTTTCGTGTGTGAGTGATTTCATTGTTGTCAGTTTGTGCAAGAAACTCTGCATACTCCTTCACCAAAGGATGCAGATCATAGGTATTTTGGACTAAACTCAAGAGTGATTTAGCACTGAGATTGTCAAGGACAGATTCACATTCATCTTCATCCATCTCCAAAATCTCGGAGACTTCTTCTGAATTGAATGCAACAGGAAATATATGCAGTCCCCTTAACACCCTTTTCTCTGTGTCAGTCAGTGTTTCATAAGACATCTCTAAGCAGGTAAGCATACCTTGAGATGCTGGAATGTTAGGTAACTGAAGAGAGGGGAGGACCTTCATGCGGTTCATTTTCTCTAACACTTTTTGTACTGTTTTGAGCTTGATCTGGGTAGCTGCTAATTTTAATGCCAGGGGATTGTGGCCACATCTCTCTGATATTTCACCTAAAGCTTCTGTCTCACTATCTGTGGGGCTGATTGTATTTCCCCCCCAAAGGACTTCAAGTGAAGATGTTTTATCAAGGGGAGGGATGTCTATAGTAACTGTGGTTTGTGACAGAAGACTGAAGGATTCACGACTGGTGCATAAAAGAGTGATATGTTTTGATGAATTCATGACATCCTCCAGTAACTGCAGAAACTCTTGCTGGTGTGAATTCAAAACGCTGTCATTATTATCAAGGATAAGGAGAGTGTCTGTTGCTAAATTAGACATAGTTTGTGTAAATTTGTTCTGATAATCACAGTAAATATCTTTCAAAAACTGATTTGGGTGATAGTGCTGCACAAGTGATAATTTGACAGAATCAAGATTTACAACTTTTCTCATATCAATATGCAAGACATCTTTTTTGACATATTTTCTGTGATGTCCAACCTCAACAGCTATGCTTGTTTTACCTATGCCCCCCATGCCAGTCAGGAGAATGAGTTTTGTATCATTTTCAACATGCTGCAGTATTTTCTGCACCAGGTCCACTCGTCCCTTCAGCTCTGGAGTTCTACTAGGAAGGTCAGTAGAGATGAGCTGACAAGGTGCTTCTGAAATTGAAAAGTAAACATGCAAGAAAAATCTTAACTTTAATGCATAAAAATGATTATATTAGAATTATAATTTCACATTATTTAAATACTGGGGTAGAGTTTTGAAAGGTAGATTTGATGTTTTAAAATGAATGTCGGGGGAAATAAATTTTGTAGTTATTTCTAAACTCAATGTATCCTTCTTTAAAGGTACATACATGTACGAACCGAGCATCGGTGGAGCGTGGATTCCCATTAACACATGTAAACCACTTCTACTAGATTCTTAATTGACTCAAAAAAATTTGACATGCCAAGGGATAAACTGAATAGATCACTCGATCAGCCATAAAAGACCTTTAGACTGCTCCTTTCTTTAAATTTATGGTTGTAAATTTAACCTACTTCCGTAACCTATTTTCCTTGCCCATTGAGATACAGCTTAGAATGCCAGCAGAAAAATCTGTTCAAACATCATTTTCGGGTAAAATTAAACAATGCCTTTTGGTAATTCTCTTAGTTATACTACTTGAAACTATATGCTGGCATTTGGTTGGTTTCATGTGACTAAAAATTGACTTTGTATGCATCTTTAAGCTTATACCTTGTGGAATCAGCAGAGCACAATCCCAAGAGTACTACAAAGAACAGATCCTCTCGATTGCACATTTCTTCAAAGTACACTTGTGACTTTAAACTAAAAGTTTTCTTTATTTATATGCTGGTGGACAATCGGTATAATAGAGCACAGTCCCTCTTAGCCAAAAAGAGCAGTTTCTCTCACTATTTTTCATAGTACACTCGTTATCTGTTAAATATGTCATACCTGCTGCATGCAATGGATCAGTAAGCAACTTGTCATAGTCATCACTGCTGTAGATTGTGGACAGTGATAACAACAAAGCTTTCAATTCTGTAAACTGGGTCTGAAATGCAGCATCTGTTAGACTGGCCCCCCCGTGGGAAAATTTGTTGCGATATTTCTTCACTCTGCCAATCTGTGCCTCCATGGACATGTCAGTTGTCGGTGGATTCTCCCAACTGCCCTTTGGGTTTAGTGTTGTGATATTTCTTAACAAGACTACTGTAAGAGTCACATCTAAGTCCTTCAATGTCACAGTTGTGGAGGGATTCCCAGAAGGGTATAGAAGCTTCATTTGGCTTGCATTCAAAACTTTCATTTTTTTCAACTGTAGCAAAGTTTGATTTGCCTTTTGGTCAGTTAGAATATCAAACAACTTGCCACCATTTGAGGGATCAAACAACCCTGGATAAGTTGTTTGTAACTGTGTACTGAGGACATCTTGAAGCACATCTTGTGATCGATGTATCAGTAGTCCCATACGCATTGTGTTTTCTATCTCATTACGTGGAGTGGCAGCAGTTGCCATTTTGTTTTAGGTCTGAATAGAATAAATATCTCAGTGTGAAATAAGGTAAAGGTGTTGCTGGCTTTCATAAACCATCACAAGATAGTAGGAAATTTTGTTTTAATATTTAATTTAAAGGGGGAGCCCTTCGAACATTTTTTCCTGGCCTTACAAAAAGCGATGTACATGTACTAGTTCTTCGGGAAAGACACAGCATATTGGTCCTGAAATCTTTTTTTATTTCTTAAAAGCAAATTTGGCATGATTTGTCATTGGTAAAGGAATAATTAAGTTAATTTGAAATGATGAAACACGGGTCATTGTCTTAAATTTAGTTAACTAAAAATGTTGTTTTTGGTTTTAAGAATATAGTTAATACATAAAGAAGTATTCAGAAGTAAAACAAGGAAGTGTAGGATGAATTAATTCAGAAGTGAAACTAGGAAGTACAGGATGTACTAAGTTGGATCAGTATATAAATGTGATTATGCTGTATAGAAATGATTTGAGTATACACTAGCTAATATCTGGTGATAAAATTGTAAACAAATGGCTGTCTTAAACTCACCTGAGAATGGATAAAGAAATTCCTTGCTGGGAGCGAATGAGAACTACGCCTTTGTCACCTGATGTAAGGTTGTCATGTGACATACGGGTATTCAAGGTCCAAAAGAATAACTTTTTTATGTAAGTGAAAGATTTAGCCACCAAAGTATGCAAAATCTGACTTTGAATCGGTAGCAAAGTCAATTTTTAATCACTGCCTTTCCTTCCTTGGAAAATGTTCAATTCCGTATCGGCATTAAACCACTTGACACAGAAATGCCGTCTTGTTGTTATCAGTAATGGCGCAGTTTTGTGGAGATTGGTTATTTATCACAGGCCAAGTAGGTTACCTTATGTCATGGTGTTCTTATCATTAATTTGACTGCAATTTGTTACAGTACTAAGTAGGTTAGCATTGTTGATTTGCTGCCTATAATATGGTTACTTCTTTTGGAGATTTTTTGCTACATTAAAGGGGAAAAAGAAATGCTGCGCTTCTGTGATTATATTATTGTTGTTGTTTTGGGTTTTGTTCTATAGTGCTATGAAAGACAAACACTCTGTTGTTAAAGGGATAATAACTCTTCATATGAGATCTATATTTCACAATAAAAACATTGTGAATAACTCATAGAAATATAATATATTCTGTTTTACCACAAAAACGGCAGTTATAGCTATTATTCTGATATCTGAGCTTGTCTTTAGACGACGTAACCTCCATTGATGGCTATACTCTTAAGAGAATTTAACAAAAAACAAACTTTTTAGAAAAAAACCAGGGACTAACTTTGAATGTAAAAATGGATTCATTAACCATTGGTAAGTATGAGAAAATTGTTCTTCACTGCAGGAAAATTCATTTTTTGGCCGAAACGAAGAGTTATTATCACTTTAAACAAGGACAATTTTTTACTTGAAATAATTTATCATTTCTCTGAACATGGTAGGCCTGCGCATAGTTAAATCACTAGAAAAAGATAACATTTCACAATTCTCTTTCAGTCTTCCACACAGCCCCTTTTTTTTAAACAATTTGCACTTGCACTATGGATATACAATTATCCTAAATTCATCTTTTTCAGATATAACAGAAGAAAAATACTGGAGGTCATCCTTAAAAATCACTTGTCTTTTTAGCATTCCACTCCAGCATGTGAACTCCGGCAGCCATTTTTCCCATCACACATGGGCAGCATGAAACTGTGGAATTTTCATCGTCCTCCTCTCAAGAAGTATTCCCATGGACCTATGTCTCAGCACGGACCACAGGCCGTACTGCCTCTACTGAAAACTATAAGAAGGAAGGCAAAGGTGAGTTCTGGTTGATGGTTTTAGAAGTAAAACCACACAGATATGTACTCATGTTATTGTTGCTTGGTTTTGATCCTTTTTTTTAAGTCAAAAAGTGTGTGATATTAATCTACCAGTACTGGTAGAATGGTAAAAACCAACCTTGACTCTACCACAAAATAACAGACCAGTGTCCAAATTGTCTTTTTTTTTCAAAGTTTGTCAAGTGTGTCTTCTGTCAATTTTCTTTTTTTGATCAGTAATGGTAAATCCTTGTTCTGACATGTACTGTAACTAGTCTTTCTCAACCTGTCATTGGCTTTTGATACTAACTTGTTATAGAAGAGCATTCTAATAAAAGGCCCATCCCTTGAATATCTATCAAACATACCCCCGGTAATTAGATTTAAGACTTCAAATAAATATACTTATTTATTGAGTAAAACTTTCCCAAGGCTGGCTTTATTTCTTTTAGAATTATGATGTTGACATAAAATAAATTCAGTTAAGTTTACATTAAGATAAAGCTCCTGTCTGGCTAATATTATTATAGGTTAAATAAACTTTGTAGATATAGTGTTCACTTTAAATTGAGCCCAGTTCCTATGATGATGCATTTTGGCTGCTGGTTAATTTGATATTGGTCAGACTGTTGTATATTATAACAAAGTGCATATTTAAATCTTTATCTTTTCACGCTTGTATATTTATGTATAAATGCAGTAGTATCTCTGCATATTCCAATTACCTACTTCTGTTTGGCACTGCTGGAACAGGAGCAGGGCATATTTCTTGTTACTGTATATACTATTTTATATTGTCAGCTATATGTATGAAGTAGTTAGCTTATATGTATTTTGGAAATGGAATGATCTAAAGTACGTAGTTATACTTATTTAAGCGTATGCGCACAATTTATGTAAAACTGTAGTTTAGAGAGCTTGTAAAATGTAACTGTACACATTTTAATGCTCAATAAATTATCATTATTATTATTATTATTATTATTATTATTATTAT